GAATACATTGGTGAAACGTGAGAGGGAAAAACCATAATGTTAGACAGTTCTAGTCACCTTTATTTTATTTCAAGTTGGAGTGTTGGTTTTATGGTACTTAAATTTATGGGTATCTATTTTTATGGTAAAGCCCAATGACATGTTCAGTGTGCTCCATCAAACTGTCCATGTTTCTGTGTTTGATTCACAACTCTGCAGGATATGAATCAGTCTTCCAGTATAACCCTTAATCACTTTTTTTTAACTTAAATAATGTAGTATGGTTTTTATTTATGCCCTGTGTCATCATCTAATTCTGTAAACCTACCCAAAGAAACAGCAGATGGAGTATTTCCCTAAAAACTCGTGTCAGCTATCGATTGACTCAGAAGACAAAGTTTCTTTATTGGGTCCAATCAGCTGAGACAGAAAATTCACAGGTAGCTCACAGCATATTTAAATCTGTTCAAAGCCAAATTGAGGCGCAACTGATACGGGCAAGTGAGGCTTGAGGAATGAAAGAAAAGTGGCCCAGCAGGGCAGGCCCTTTTAAAAATTACACTTATTTGTTACTTTATAGTGAGAATCCCCTTTGTTATCTGTTGACCATTCAAGCCCTACTTTCTGTGTGCAGTAGTTAAAATAGAATGGACAGGAAGCTCTTATGCCCTTGTTTGTTTTCCACAGGGTGAAGTGAAGAAGTAAAATCTCCCCGCTGAACTACTATGAGGTCAGAAGCCTTGCTGCTATATTTCACACTGCTACACTTTGCTGGGGCTGGTTTCCCAGAAGATTCTGAGCCAATCAGTATTTCGCATGGCAACTGTAAGTATGAAAGGCCTGGTGCTTTTTTTCTCCCCCAAGCTCCAAGAAGGAATGTATTGATCACTGAATGTTTCTTATTTCTTGACAGCTCTTCAGATCAGCCAGATTACATTCCCAGATGATAAAACTAGAGCAGAGCACTTTTGCCCTGATTTGTGTTTTCAGAACTGATGAGCTGCTTGCTCCCCCAAAACCATAACCTAGAATACTCTTCAAACGGGAGTTTCTGCAGTGCAGTCAGTCCAGTTTCCCATCCTACCCAACAACAAATGAAGAAAGCTTGTTTTTCATGAGCAGAGGGTTTCTTACCTTTCTCCCCAGAAGCAAAGTTCTGGAGAACCAACCAAGTCCATATATCAGGTGTAGCTCACTAATGTAGCTGAGTTGAGAACATATCATTGAAATGATTTTCTAGAACTATACAAATAACCAGATTTGTTTGCTCAGCCTTTGATGTATCTTTGTCCCACTTTACCATTTGGCATTTTGGGCAGTAAAACTGTTTGTAAGATTTTGACAAAAAACATTTTGGTGAAAAGCCAACATTTTTGCAATAAATATTCTCCATTTTCTGACCTGCTTTAATGGGGAGTCTCTCTGAGACTAGGCTAGCACACGGTGCTGCAAGTCAGGATCAAGATGGACTGGCTGGACTAGGTGGGAAAGCATGCACTGCATTTGATCACCTAGCTCAGACCCTCAGTATTACTAAGTTCCTCTTTATCACGGTTATCACAGTTCAATCACAATTTTTCCAAAAAGGCCTTCCGAGGACTAAATTCACAAGGGAGACTTAGGCATGTCACAGCCTCTTTAGTAGCCGAAATGCAACAAACAGGTGCCATTGGCATTCACACAATCCCCACTCAGCTGCCTCTTAACTCTGGAGGTACCTAGGCATCAAAGTTTCCACTTGTGAAATGTATGAGGTGCATAAATTTATGCCACGAAATCTAACACTGCCGAGCAGCTTGGCATCCAATTCACACCTGTGCCCCAGTGAGTTTACAAAGTAGGCATCCTCCCCGCCTGTGTGGCCTGATCCATTAGGTATACACATAGCCCAGACAGGGATTTGAACACAGAGCTCCTCCTTGCAAGTGAGTGCTGTAATTTCTGGGCTCTCTCTCCTGTTGGAGCTATTCCACTTTGTATAAATAATTCAATATTCATTAGTGTAGAGACTTGAACTTGAGTCTCCCCCTTCCCAGGTGAGTACTTTCCAGGCTGTGGAGTCATTGCCACTCTGGCCCAGGAGTATTTAATTATTTTATACAAAATGAAACAGCATCAACAGGAGAGACTGTGAGAGACCCACCCCAGAATACTCAGTGGTTAGGGCACTCTCCTGGAAGGTGTGAGACCTGTATTCAAATTCCCCTCTGCCTGATTTGAACAAATGTCTCCCATCTCTAAGGTGAATGCTCTAACCTCTGGACTATTGAATAAAAGGGTGAGATACCATCTGCAACTCAGTTTTTCTTGGGAAAGGGCTGACCTAAGTCCATGAGAGGGTTCACAGCCATGAATCCTGAGGGGAGATAGGCATTTCCCTCTGGCCCAGACTTAGGCACCTAACTCCTTTTGAGGGGCAGGGCTTAGGCCTCTCTCCTCAGCATTTCCTATTGGCCAGGGCTGAAAGTAACATTAAGCACTTACCAGTACGGGGGCCTGGCTCCGGGTCCCCAGAAGAGGCGGGGCCTCGGGTGGAAGGGGTGGAGCTGGAGGGGGTCAGCCTTCCCCAGCCAGCCCATCCACACTGCCTGTCCCACGCCACCCGGGGCTTCGGCTGCTGCCGCAGTAGCCACAGCGGCGGCCAGGAGCCCCGGGCTCTTTTAAATCTCCAGGCCTGGGGCTGCTGCCCCTTTTGCCCCACTGACCGCCGGGGAGGGAGTGGGGGACAAAAGGGGCAGCGATGTTAAAGCGCTGCCGCGATAGTGCTTTAACATTGGCTGCATACGGGCTGGAACCGGCAGCCACGTCTTACCGGTACACCGTACCGGCCTCCTTTCACCCCTGCTACTGGCTAGCTTAGCTGGCAGCCTGCTTAGCTTGCTGGCTTCTGTGAATCCCATTTTTAGGTGCCTAACTCTCCCCACACATTGTATAGGAAGCCTGGGCGCCTCACTTGGGGTTGTGAATTCTACGAGGTGGCAGGGCACCTCGAAGTTAGACACTGCAACAACTAAATCCCCCTTGTGACTCTAGCCCTGGTGTTCAGCACTTGTCAGGATTGGCACCTGCATTTGTAAAAGTGTGGTAAGGAATGGCAAGTCAGCAATCTTAACCCCTCTGCAGAGGAAAACATGGGAAACTTCTATTTCTATGTTATGAATGTCAAATGGCTGCAAACATACAGGCCCCAATTCACACAAGGGCAATCAGTTACAAAGGAACCAGTGTTGGACAGAGGAAAGCTGGAATGTTAAAAATTAGTACTTCTCAAGTAAATCTTGGTCAGGAAGATTAACCTTCTGAACTTCAATCCTCTGTGAGTTTGGTTAATTTATTTACCCAGGAGTGCTCCGCTCAGATGCAGCATCTGGTTTGCAGGGAAGTTCCTGTTTGTACCCAAGTTTACAGCTGGGCTGACGACGACACAAAGTGATTTGCCCAAGCCTGCACAGTGAGTCAGTAGCTCAACCAAGATTAGCACTGAAGATCCTCCTAGAGAGAGTTCACAGAGAAAATTAAGCAGAATATCTACACTAATAGCCCCCCAAGGTAGCGCTGTTTGTTTGGAGCAAACAGATTTGGGGAGAAAGGGCTTAATGCTTGATTGGATGCCAGTTAACTGCATTATGTGAATGTGCAGGAATTCTTCCTTCTGATGCTGCTCCTACTCATAGTCTCCTTTTCTTTCTGTCTTCTGGGCGTCTTTCTGATTGCCTTCCTGGGAGCTGGCTAGTTGACTGGCTCTTACGTCTAGAGACATGCATTGCAAATGCATCAGACAGACAGAAACTCTGTCAGAAATGTTTTCTGGGTGTCTATTATAGGATCTACATACAGATTGTATGTAGATCCCATCAGTGCATGTTGACTTCCCAGCAACAAGAGCTCTGGAATATAATGAATAAGTGTTCTCACTGACTGTCAGAGTTGGGGAAAAGGCTGAGTGGCTACCAGTACAGACTTCCAATCAGCATTATCATCTGGCTGCCAGGAAAACTGATGTATCAGACAGGTTGCCAAAAATAAATAAATACAACCAAAACCAGTCACGTTAAATAAATAAATGAAGGTCAATTAATGGCTACCCACAGTTTGTACAAAAAATACAGCTGCCCTGCACTGGCAGCCCAATCCTGTAGGAAACCTGTGAAGCTGGCAATTTTGTACCTAGTAGTGCCAAGTCCTTTGCTCTAACCACTAGCCAGCATAGCCATTGCAGTGACAGATGGGTTACTATAAAATAGGGGAATTGACCTTCTTTTATTTGCGGACCCCTAAAAAATTTCAAATGGAGATGCCGCCCCCTTTGGAAATCTTAGACATAGTCTGCGGACCCCCAGGGTCCATGGATCACATGTTGGAAACCACTGTACTGTGGTAATGACAACCTTTCACAGACCCCTTAGACATAGTCTGCGGGCCTCCAGATGTCCAGGGACCACAGATTGAAAACAATTGCATACTATACCATAAAATAGCTTTGTCCTGAAAGATAAACTTTGGCAGGCAGCATACAGCATTTAAAACGCTGCAGGGGATGAAAGGAAAACTGTGTGGAAGTGCTAAGTACCTTTATACCAAGAGCTCTCAGAGCAGTTTTATACCAGTTCTGCTCTCAGAAATCACAGTTCTTCATTTCTAAAAACATAATGGCTTTCTCCTTGACAATTGCAAACAAAGATTATAACCATGATGAGCTATGCAATCCACTGTGCTATTACTTCAGTACCCCAGGCTGTGTTGTGGGGAGAGACAGCAAGAGCAGGAACTATAGATACTGGCAGTGGGTTTGGTGATGGGATATTCCATGTTAATATGACTTCATAATGTGAGTGTCTCTCCGTCTTTTTGCTTTCTTTCTCCCAATCCTTTTCCCTTCTCACAGATACAAAACAGTATCCGGTGTTTGTGGGGCACAAGCCAGGACGGAACGCCACACAAAGGCACAGGCTGGACATCCAGCTGATCATGATAATGAACAGAACCCTCTACATTGCTGCTAGGTCTGTAGTGTTTTCCTAATTCCCTTCTTGCTATTCCTAGAAAAAATTGATATTCTGAGTTTATCTCTGCCAGACATTTATTTTAGGATTTTATCACACACATTGGTCTTTATAGTCTGTCTGTGATACATCTTAAAAGCCACATTAGTTTGTCATCTTGGGCTCAATCCGTCAAGGTGCTGAGCAACTTCTGGGGGTGCTGGGCATCTGCAGCCCCCCATTAAAGCCAATGGAAGTTGGAGGATAGAGACAGAATAATAATTTCCTTAAAGGAGTTTGTGATTTTGTTTGTGCACACAATTAATTACGTATTTTGGAGAACAAACACAAATGAGCCACTGGGTGCATAAGTACATATTTGAATAAGAGTAATTAAACTTTAACGTTGCTGTTCTAGGCATATTTTATAGTAAAACAACAAAAAAAGCAGAAGAAATATGTTTACTGCTTTTCTTTTGATGTATTCCATGAGGTTAATTGAATGTCTTTTCTGCATCTTTTTGCAGATATATTTTTATATACACAAACACATGCATTTATATGAGAAGGCTTATAAGGCCAGCTCCTTAGTAGGTGTAAATTGGCATAGCTCTGGCAGTTTCAGTGGAACTACATTGATTTTTAACAGCTGCAGATCTGGTGCATATTATAAGTAAATACTCATTCTCCCATAAGTTTTTGGCTTTCCAATGCTAACAGGAGGTCAAAACTTATTATTATTACATAAGTGTCACAGAATGCTACCTAAATACCCATGCTGATTGGCACATCAGAAAGAATATATTCAGGGAGCAGATGGGTTAGAGTTATTGATTGATGGATCGATTGATATGCCAAGGAACAGAATTGTTAAGTAAGGAGGTGCCATTTTACACCATAACTGCACTTTCAAGTCGCTTCTCATTATGCCTAGACATTGGAGGAATCTTAAGATTTCATTGCAAAGCTCGGTTTCTGACAAACTCTTCATATATAGGCTTGCATTTCTCACATGTCCTGGAGATTTTGAGTCCCCAATTCTCTGCTGGTTTCCTATGCTCTTTCCTTTCCTTTTCACAGCAAGTACTCTCCAAGGCCAGCTGTCCCTAGAAAAGGATGCACAATCTTAGAGCTGTGACAAAATTGGAAGTAGTGTTTTAAGTTAAGAGCATATATTTTCAAAACAAGACCATTTTGTCTTTTTTCCCCCTTACCCTTTCCTCAGACCCTTCCCATACATCATTGTGCTGCTCCTCGTGCGTGCTCCAGCCTATTACGAAGTATTGCATGCCATGCTTCTGTAACATTCCCAATTCCTGTCCACAAGGCATTAAAAGATTACTAAGTCTCAAACTCAGATATTCTGCATAACAGCCTGTTGCACTCAATAAAGGACTAGATAGCCAGGCCAGCCTTTAATTGTCATTAGAGGACAAATCCGGGGAAAGAGTGCCCAGCCCAAATAAATAGATGGTAGTACAGCCCAGGCAGAGGACTAGAATCCTCAGCGTCAGCCTCTATAGCATTGCTATAGCACCTCGTACACTGCCCAAACAGGGGACAGTTTCTACTCTATGTTTTGCAGTGGGTGCAATGGATGTGCTTTATGCTGCCCCATGTAGTATTTTGGGCAACAGGATCCATGTTATGCATGCACCCACTGGCCATGCCTCCCACCGTACAACTTCACCTTCGATTATTCTTCAGAGAAGTGTGGAACTTGGCTCGATGACACAGAGACTGTGCAGAGTCTCTCAGGGAGAATGCTCCACTCTTCACCTTCCCATGAAAACATAGTACCTGTGTGGTTATGTGCATGTGGGGGAGCCAGAGGGATGGCAGGATTTACTCCTTAATGTAATTTTTCATGGGGGAATTCCCTTATTTTTTTTTCTTTTTGTGTGTGTTTGTTTTCTTTTTTAAATTGGCAGGTTATTTGCAGTGTGACAATTAGAACTGACAAGCACTAAGGCAAATCTGCTTGGTGGATTAAAATATCCAAACATTATTCGCAGACTAAAATGTTGATGAAAATATTAACTTGTAATCAGCAAGCTACATGCCTCCGCTGCACTCTGATGCTACAGTTTGAAAAAGAATTTGAACTTTTCATGATGGCAAATTACCATTCACAAATCACAGCTCATTTTAAAAAATGAATTAGCTCCTTAATCTGTGTATGTGTAATATATACCATATTTGTGTTTGAGTGTATGTGAATGTGTATAGATAAAATATTATATTATATTCAAATAGAGAAATGCTTTGACATTATTGGGGACAAATGACCTGCAAAAAGAACAGAAAGATGTAATCCATTTTTACTTACACGAGCACAAAAAATCTTCTTAAACTTTTCTTTGCTCCAGTAACTGAAAAACTGTTACGTAGATTATTTTCCTCCTCAGAATATTACTGGAAAAAAATCCCTGCTAGGTTGAGAAGCCTATGTGATAAAAGTTAAAATTCACAAGGTCATTTTTATCTTCAAGTGAGAAACTTTCAAAAATGAGTAATCTTTCCATAATTAGTGTGAGTGAAAGTTTATATCTGTAACACTAATGGGGGCAATAAACTGAGAGACTGAAGCAAATGTGAACACAGTCAAAAGTGTTTATCAAAGAGCTTCATAACAGGATTAATTGAAACTGTATTTAGCATAAATCCCTTAGTACCATATCAGATGCTTCTTTTAAGTTGTTTTGTAGGTGTCTAAATATAGTGATACTAAGTTTACATTTGTACCCAATTATCTGAAAAGCAATCAAAACACATGATTAAACACTGAGGTTTTTGAGAAAATCCAGTGCTCACTGTTAGTTTTGCAGTTAATTTCCTTGGAAAAAAGGACAAACTGATTTCAGCGACAGCTAACAATTTATTACTGCATTACTTTATTACTGCATTATTACTGCATTTATTACAGAACAAAATCTGTTTGTCAGTTGCCTATTTTGTCAAATAAGATATAGGGATGTAAATAAGAATTTTGTACTAACTATTATTAAACACTTTTTATGGGTTTGGAAAGATTTCAGTGCAAATTATGAGCTGGATATTCAGCTGATGTAAATTAGCATAGCTTCACTGAAGTTAATGAGACTAGAGTAGTACACCAATTTACATCAGCTGAGCATCTGTCCCAGGGGCATCATTTGCTATGGGACAAGCGGGGCAGTTGCCCATCCAGACCTTAGTTTGCTCCCCTCAGACTTTTCCTAGGCCTATATGCTCCAGAATATCTTCCACTTTTTGCCCCTCCCCCAACTTTGCAGAGTACAATACAATCATAAATTATGTTCTATGCTGTCACAACTTTTCCCATCTCTTACCCCCAGCTGAGTTTTTCTGAAATGTTGCCCCTGAGCTGTCCCTCTGGATATGTAACAGAATAGCAGCATTTTCTTCTTCCCTCAGAGGGTACAGGTTTGCACACACCTTTCCTGGAGTTCACTGTGTCATCTCTTCCTGCTGACTTGTTTGGTGGTTGCTTTTGTTCCCATGATCTGTCACCTCCCATATGTATGCACAGAATGGTTCATTGAGCCCCAGCAGTACCAGAGTGCATTTACACATTTCCAGACATTGCACTGACATGGCCAAGGGTCATGCACAGCCAGCAGCATTATTTAAATTCCCTTCCTCCACAAGATTATACCATGGCAACAAAATTCAGTTCTGCTGACTGGAGGTGGGAAAACGGAAGCAGTAGGATTAAGTCAGTTTGTGTTAGAATAATTTAATTAGCAGAGAACTATACTCATACCACAGCCAGTAGGCAGTATTGGGGAAGAGAGGGCAAAACAGTCCATTAGTATCTATAGTATCTACAGACAGTTCTTTTAATTTTTGCCAACACTGGGCAACTGTGCATTAGATACAGCATGTGGAAATGGTTTTAGTTATCCTGAAATCAGGTTTCATTGACATAATTCCACAACTTGGTGTCTGAATTCTCCTAGGACACTTTGGCAAGCCAGAAAGTAAGTTGCTTAGTCACTTAAGTCGCTCAGAAGAGCCATGATGTGAGTGATGCTAAGTGACACAAGCCTCTCTCTGAATTTCACCCATTTACTTTTACTGGGTTTTTGTTGTTGCTAGTTTGTCTTTTTAAAAAGAAATCCTCAACACTAAAATGATAATTAATGTAAAGAGCTGTGCCAGAAGGGGGCCAATCAGAACACTTTTTCAGGTGTTGCCAGTGCATAATAATCAGTCAATTTACAATTCAGATTCTTGGTTTCCACCAACTGAAACTTTGAATATGTATATATAAAAAAGGAAGTAACATCACCGTCTATAAAGCTGATATGCTAATATGTAATTTTATTCTGCCACTGACCCTGACCATAGCTCCGCCAGTAAAGACAAGCAAATAATAAGGCATTAAACCCGTCTTGAAAATAAATGACAGTTCTGGTTTGTATTGAAGACTGAGGGAGAAAAAAAACCTCCTCAGTTTGGCATCTTACAAAGCAAACTGCCTCAACTGCAGTGGCAGACAAATTTTTTTTTAAAGCCAGTTTCTATTAACAATGCTGCCCCTTTTCTCCATGTGAGAGAAGTGTTTCTTATTTTCATTTTACAGCAAAGACTGTTTTCTGTCTGCTTTAGTTAGAAGCTAATATTGTTTCCCTCAAACTCGATAAAATGGAGCTAGTCTTGACAGCAGAGGCTTCTAAAATGGAAACAGTCTGTATCCTACTTTCAACAGACTCCTATATAGCCCCCTTTTAAAGCTATGAATCGTTTTCTAGCCACAAGACTTCCCACATTTTTGAAAAAGTCATTGTTTTTTCAAGGAAAAATGAGATGTTGGGTGTTTTTCACCCCTCCTGCACAATTTGGTGTGGCTCTTTCAGGTGTTTTGTTTTCTTTTTTAATTCTGTGCCCCAGTCAAAAATGTCTCTGTGCGCCACTCACACAGAAGGGGACTGCTTAAAAATGTCCCCCCACCTGACTTTCTGAGTCTGTTTCCCCTTGTGCAGGGAAGATTGGTAGCTAATTGTAGAGAAAACCAGGTTCTCAGCAAAATAGGAAGGTGAGCACAGGCGAGATGTAAACTTTTTTTGAGGGTGAATTTTAGAGTTTAATTTGGCCATCAGCGTGTGAAGAGAAGAATAATTTCTGGAAACAATTTTGTTGCTGTCAATTTTTTCCTTTCCAGATTGTCAATCAAATCATTACCGCTGAGATTGGAGGTATAATTTAAAAAAAAAAAACGCATTAACCTTTTTTTAACCCTGGCTGACTAAGAATGGCATACTGAAAACCATCCCAGGAAGCTGGTAACGGTTGCCTAAATAGGATTGCAGCTGATATAAAGATGCACAAAAACATCTGCCCACCAGCACCTAGAGGATGTGGAACTAGCCCCCTTTCTTAAATCTCATTCATACAAATAAGCTGTTACTGGAAAGAAACTTGAGTTAGTTTTTAGAATTTCTCTTCTTTCTTATTGAAAAGCAAAGCAGTTTATGTACAGTGGTGCATTCTCAGTAGAAGCAGACCAAGCAATCAGTAGTGTTCTCTTGTATAGTGTCTGTTCTTTTTTTTTTTATTATATAAAATAAACTGACTAGTGCTTTTGACTTTGCATTGATTTACCTTTGTTTACAGGGACCATATTTATACTGTTGATATGGACACATCACATACAGAAGAAATTTATTTTAGCAAAGTAAGTTGCTTTTTATCATCTTGAAACTAAAGAAACTAGGAAGAACAGAGAATAAATAGGAAATGGGCATTGTTTCAAACAGCTTTCCAGCATTGCTGTAAAAATTGTACTAATCAAGTAAGGTGGAATTGCTAGTCATATATAGGGAAAGCTGGAATAGCAGTCATGACCTCTGTGAATTTCTTATGAGCGATTTAGCTAGCTTGATAAGCAGCTAGTACCGAAATATACTGAGCTCCCTGGAATCCATCAAACATCTATTCATTGATATTATGTAGCTTTTTATAATTGCTATACTATACCAATTAAGAATACTAAAACTCTCATCATAAAAGGAAAAGTCTACTTATATATTTTCATATACATAATTTTTAGTCAGTCAAGCAAGTACGCAGTAAATAAAATCTTATTATAACATCATGCTATAAAGTGTTGTAAGAAAAACCACATTACATTTATGGGAAATTATATCCAAAAAGGGAATAGTTTTTCTTGCATTGCTCTCCTCTGTATTGTGTGAATGTTTCTAGACATGACCTCCCACCAGTTTCGTCATACTGATTGGCACATGGCATACCCTATATGCAATATATAGTATTCATAGTTCACCGGGGTGAATTTCACTCCAGGAAAGGAAAAATGGGCATGTTAAATCCATGAATGATGCCATAGATGAGCTTATGACATGATACTCATACTAAAATGAGGTCACAGAGCAGCAAAGGAAAGAAAAACTAGCGTTACATCCATGGGCAGTAGATGAACCACGGGCTCGGGATGTTAGCCCCTGATCCGGCCCACCCCTTCTGCCTGAGGCCCCACCTCTCCCTCCCTCCTTCCCCTGCTGAAGCCCAGAGCTCCTGCCAGCGGCCACCAGCCTCCCCTACCAAGCCCGAGCCGCCTGAGTGCCTCCAGCCTTGGGCTGGGCTGGGGCCAAGAGGGAAGGGCAAGAAGGAGGGAACCTCAGGGTGGAGCATGGGCAAGGCCACGTGGGGCTGTTTCAGGAAGCACAGCCTTTCCCAGCCATTATACCCACTGCTCATGCTTACATCCATGAAAAATGTTTTAGCGAAGGACTATTTAATAAATGAGCACTAACTCAATTCATTAAATGGAGTTGTTGGCTCGAAGCCATTATTATTGTTATAAGGGTGTTAGTATTTTAAGCTAGGGACTTTTTAATGACATTTTACTATAATTATTCAAATCTAATACACTCAGTCCAAGGCCTAACTCGGGGGCGGGCAAACTTTTTGGCCTGAGGGCCGCATCGGGTTTCTGAAATTGTGTGGAGGGCCGGTTAGGGGAGGCTGTGCCTCCCCAAACAGCCAGACGTGACCTGGCCCCTACCCCGTATCCGACTCCCCCCCTGCTTCTTGCCCCCTGACGCCCCTCCCCAGACTTCTGCACCATCCAATGCCCCCTGTTCCCTGGCAGCCCCCTGGGGACCCCTGCCCCATCCACCCCCCCACTCTTGGTCCCCGGACCCCCCCTGCCGCCCCATCCAGCCCCCACGTCTCCTTCCTGAATGCCCCCCCGGGACCCCTGACCCATCCAACCACCCCTTCTCCCTGACTGCCCCCGGACCCTCTGCCCCTAACTGCCCCCCGACCCTAACTTCCCCCCACCGCCCCATGCAACCCCCCTCCTTCCTGACTGCCCCCCCTCCCGCGGGACCCCTGCCCCATCCACCCCCCTGGCTCCCTGTCCCCTGACTTCCCCCAGAACCCTCACCCCTGACTGCCCCCCGCCACCCCATCCAACCCCTCCTCTCCTTCCTGACTGCCCCCCTTGAACCTCTGCCCCCATTCAACCCCTCTGTTCCCCACCCTCTGACCACCCTGACCCCTATCCACACCCCCAGCCCCTGACCATCCCCCTCATGAACTCCCCTGCTCCCTACCCCCTTACTGTGCTGCCTGGAGCACCGGTGGCTGGCAGCGCGGCTGCACCAGGACAGGCAGTCACACCGTGCAGCACAGAGCACCGGGTCAGGCTGGGCTCTGCAGCCACGCTGCCCAGAGCATTGCGCTGGCGGCGTGGCAAGGTAAGCCTGCGGGGGAGGGGGAACAGCAGGGGAGGGCCGGGTACTAGCCTCCCTTGCCAGGAGCTCAGGGGCCGGGCAGGACGGTCCCACGGGCTGGATGTGGCCCGCGGGCCATAGTTTGCCCACCTCTGGTCTAACTGGTGGCCGTATGTGGGGTCGGGAAGAAATTTTCCCCCAGGTCAGCTTGTCCATGATCTTTGGGTTTTTTTGTCTTTCTCTGCAGTGTAAGGTGTGGGTCACCTGCAGAGATCACCCAGGTGTATCACACTTAATTCCCTGCCCTGGCATGGGGCCTAAGGCATTGGTGCACCTCCCATGCCCCCCATTCTCTGCCTCTGGCACATAATAGTCTAGTCTCCTGTGGGCTGTAATACTTTGCTTTAATTTCAGTTGTTGGGTTAGTGTGCAGGTGCTGGGTGGTATTGGTGGCCTGTGATATACAGGTAGTCAGATTAAATGATTTGGTGGTCCCTTCTGGCCTTAAACTCTATGACTCTGTAACTCAGCTGCTTGGAAAGTTTAACATTTGCTAACTTCATAACGTGGTGTATCTAGATTCCCATTCATAGAGGAACAAAAATCCAATGTGGGATTTACCTATAACCATTCCAGGGAAACAATGTTAGAAAATAAAACCTTTAGTGCTTTGATAGCTAGAGGATCTCTGAACTTATTAGCTAATATGAAGTAAGAAGAATAACCTGAATTAGATTTCTTTGCTCATCTGAACTGGACTGTGCCAATGCATATTATTTGGCTTGATAACTAATGAGTTTATAGTCCATTTGCAACAATTTGCTTTGCAAAACAACATCAAATTAAAAGAAATAAT